AATGTTTCAATTTAATTCAATATCATATAACAATTCTCTAATCAATTATAAACTAATCAATATAAATTATATTACAGCTAGTAAGTATTGAAATCAATGTTTCAATTTAATCAATATCATACAATTCTCTAATCAATTATAAGCTAATCAATATAAATTAGATTCATAATTATTGAAATTAATGTTTCAATATCATATAACAATTCTTTAATTAATTATCAATAATATTTTAGAATGTGTAGTGAATGTCATCAATATGAAAGAAATTGGTGTTATTCATGTAATGCCAAACGATTTCAAAATGAATTTGATAAATGGACAAGTAAAGATAGAGAAATTTATGAATTTATTCAATAAATACAACTAAAGACAAATAATTTTCAAGAAATTATTGAGTGGATTCCATTTGACAAACTTAAAAATGTCACATATCTAGCTAAAGGGGTTTTGGTACAGTGTATAAAGCAAATTGGCTTGATGGATTTATTGTTTCCAGTAAAAAAAAAAAAAAAAAGTGGTATAGGTTTGGTGAACAAGATGTTTGGAATAGAGCTGGTAAACAAGATGTTTGCTTAAAAAGTCTTGATAATTCCACAAATAAAATTGAATTTTTACAAGAGGTAAATATTTTATATTATTTATATTATTTTAAATATGTATGGAATAATTCAATTCATGGCACCTGAGACATTAAGTAAAGGAGAATACACTCAAGCGTTTGACATTTATTCTTTTGGTATGGTTATGTTAGAAGTTCTAACTAGTTATCCACCATATCATAATATTTTACATGATGAAAATCTTGCAACGGGCATTTATGAAGGGCTTAAACCTGGAATTAAGTGTGAAATTCCTCAATTTCTCAAAGAAATAATGGAAGAATGCTGGAATTTTGAACCTCTCAATCGTCCAACTGCTGAAGAATTAAAATTTCAACTTGAGAAATATAATTCTTATGATCATGAGATAAACAAACAAGTTAATGCAGAAAATAAATCAAACAAGAATTTTAGTCAATATAATTCAAATGAAGTGCATCCTGAAGCAATATATGCAAGTAGATATTTGCCTTTTCTGAAATCAAAGAAACTTGAAACTAATAAACATGGTAATCTATATTTTTAACAATAAATAAATGATTATTTTTATATAAATATTTACATTATTTAACATTTTAGATACAAAACAATGGAATCTTGAAATTCCTGATGATATAAGTGAATATTATATTTTTTAAATCATTCATTAAATACATTTAATTAATGAAACTAACAATCTTAAATTTTGTATAGTTGAAAAAAATGAAATTCAGGAAAATTAATTGTTAATTTTTTGGGATTTATTATTTTTTAGTCTTGATATTATTTTTACATTTAATTATTTTATTTGACCACTGGAATTATAGAGTATAGCTTTTATTTAAATTAAAGCAGACCAGTATGTAATCATTTAAAATAAATCTTGTGTCTATACTGTATAGTTTTAAATGAGTAATGTTAATCTTAACTTCCCTGGGTGATATATAATATGTAACAAATAGTATGTCAACACCCAAAAAATTATGTCCCCAAAAATATAATAAAAATTAAATGTCAAAGTGGTGATGATAAAATGAAAACACCTCCAATTTTAATCATAGATAATAAAATATATTACAATTTAAGTGAAGCTTTTTTTGTAATTAATTTTGCTATAAAAAATTCTAAATGAAATCTCTGTTTTTCCAAGTAAGACTTATTACAGCTATGGTGTGTTTCACCTATAAACAACAATAAATTTATATAACTTTAAAATGATATAATTATTTTCTAAAAAGGAATAAAAAAAAATAAACTGATAAAAATAATCTATAGATCCTAAGCTTCAATTCTATCAGTTTAATTTTTTTTTTAATAAAAAAATTATTTAAAAGAAATTATTTTTTTAATATATTTTATCATATAATAACATATAGTTTGATTAGAATAGAAAATAATAATAGTAATTTAATAAAAGAAAATTCAACATCCAAACAAATAAAGGACAAACCCTTAAGATTAAAATAGAGGGAATTATTGGTAAACTTGCTAAATATGCTATTAAAAAAAACATAAATCACATTATACTATTCTAGATTTTGTAATAAATGTATTAAATAAATTTATAAAATAAATAGAGATAATTATAATAATAAAACAATTAAAATATTATTTTTAAAAATTTTTATTCAACAATTTTTGTTTTTTTTTTTTATTTAATTCATTATGGGTGGGTCATATTTACATAACTGATATATTTTTTCAAAAACAGAAACTCAAAAAAAATACTTGAAACCTATTCCTTATATGCCTAAGATTTAAAATTATGTTACAACTCAATAATAATAATCTTTTTATTATTCATGTAATTTGTCATATTCACTGTCCTTACAACCTGGTTATATTTGTGAAGGAAGAGGACAAAATAACAGTATAACTAAAAGTGCTTCTTCAGATTATTACTTCAGTTTATAGTTAGTTTTGATACACAAATAAAATATGCTGGACTTCCTTATCTAGGTTTAGAACAAGCTGAAACAGTTCAAAAACTATTAAATGGAGCAATATTTTATCCATTTACTATTGAAATAGAAAATTTTCTGTTTTTATTAGTTGGTTTGACATAAAATGTAAATGAAATTGATCAAAAATATTCAGCATCATTATCTTATAAATAAATAAAAAACAATTAGTTTTTTTAACAAGCAAACAAAAATTTATTTCAAATTATAATTTATCAAGCTAGTCAAGTTGTTGAGGATTTTTCACCTAATTCAGTTTGATATCAAACATAAGTTCTAAATCTTCTAAATCTATACCTGATGATATTTTGTTTGCTAAGAATCATCCTATAACTTTACAAAAATTAAGCCAATTACAACAAATTCTTTTATTACAAATTCCTAATAAATATACAATTGCAGATTGGAATAATCAAGAAATTATGGAACAGTTATTTAAACTACATTTAAAAAAGCAGTTAGTGGATCTTATAAGGAATGGAACAAATAAAGATTTAACAAAAAGTAACATAATTGAATTATATACTCATATGAAAGATATATAATTCAAATTATAAGTTTACAAAACATGAACTTAGAGCATGGCAATTGATATTTTGTACTGTGAGATGTACAATATTACTGCATTTAATAGAAAAATTTAAAAAATATTTATATAATATAATAAATTAGTATCTAATAAAAAATCAATATATTATAGGTTAAATTTTGAACAAATGCACTTAATCTTGAAAAATGAACTTACATATTGAAGGTTTTTGAATATATATTAACTTGTTTATTAATTGAAACAATATCAAAAATATTGATATATATCAACTAAAACAAAATTTGATAATATTGATATATTTTTAAAACTATTTTTGTAACAGTTACAATATGAATTTTAGAGGAAAAGAAGATAAAATATGTACAGTCATATCAGAAAGTGATGTCTGATTTAAAATTAAAACAAAATTTTATTTATTTTTATAAAACTGTATATATAAAAATATTCCTATAATGGTTAATATTTTGTTGGTCCTCCTTTTGCTTCTAGTACTACATTGATTCTTTATGGCATTGAGACACAACATTTTCAAAATGAAGTAATCTAAATTTTTCCATTCTTTCATTAGTGCAGTTTTAAATTCATTTATATTTCTTAAAAAGACCTCACAGCTCTGGATATTATCTTTTAATTGCTTCCAAATGTTCTCATTGAGTTCAGATCTGGAAAATTTGCTGGCCAATTAATGATCTTAATTTTATTTGTCTTTAACCATTTCTTGATTATTTTTACAGTATGTATTGATATATTATCCTGTTAAAAAACTGCAACCCTTCCTGTTTTCCTATAAACTTTATACTTAAATAGAATTAAATATGAATTTAGGATAGTGATATAAGTATTTGAATTTATTCTTTCATTTTTTTTTTGTTTTTATCACAAAAAATTAATGGACCTTTTGTTCCTCCTATGAAACATTCTCAAACTATAACTGATTTTTGACCACTTTTAAAAGTAGGTGTCAAGCATTCAGTATTAAATATTTCTCCTAAACCTCTTCAAACTCTTATTTGCCATGACTGCTTTTCAATCTTAATACTTGATTTATTCGAGAAAATAACTTGTACCCAATTGTAAACTGTTTTATTTTTATATTTTTTGTATCAACTAATACAAGAAGATGTATACCTTTCTGATATAAAAAGCTTTTCTTGCAACAATATAGGAGTGAATTCCAGTATTATATAGTATCTGTTTAGCAGTTGCTAAACTACAGTTTAAATTCAGTATATTAATAATTTCATGTAAAGATGCATATCAGTTCTTCATAATTTCATTTACAAGTTTATCTTTTTCATTATTATTAAGAGCAGGTGACCATCCTGATCATGATAAATTTTCAGTATTTCCAGTTTTCTTGTACTTGTTAATAAATCTTTGTATAGTAGTAAGGTCACATTTCATTTTGTATAGTATTGTAATTTTCCATATACATCAGTATTTTTTTTTATCTTGAGAAGATATCTCTATGTAATATGATGTCATTTTTTTTAACTATAAAACTAATTCATCAAGTTATAATATAAGAAAAATATTTAAAATAATAAAAAAGAAATATAAATAATGTAAACCAGATGTATTATTACATTATGCAAAATCAGGTGTCACTTTTTGATATAATTGTACACTCCCCTATCAAAAGTATTGGACCAAAAACTTTTAAAAAATTTATTGGTATTTTTAAAAGTTAATTATGATCCAATGAATAATCTAAATTGCATAAATTTTTTTTTATTTAATTCTCTGAGCAAGAGCTATTTTTTAATATCTTGTTTATTGAAATTGAATTCTTGCTTTATCTAGAATTATATAGAGATGTTCTAGTATACTATATGTGCAAAAATCCATAGAACATTCTAGAACAGTATGTTCTAATATTCTATATGAATGAAACATCTGTAGAATGTTCTAGAACAGTGTATTCTAGTACATTATATAAATGAAATGTTCATAGGACATACTAAAATATTGTATATTTAGTATATTATATGAATGTTAGTACTATTTGTAGGACACTAGAGAATGGCATTCATATAATGCAATAGAACATTTTTATTTAATTCCTGATGTTGTGCAGAAATTTTGTCTTAAATAAAATTAATCAAAAATTTTAAATTAAATTGTTTAATTGTTATATTAATCAATCTTAATAACTCTTTATTGAAATATTAAGTATCTTATATAGACTTGTAACTTAAATCAAGAGTTACAACTTTTATTAGATAATAATTAATAATTATTAGTGAAAATTAGGACTTTACTTAGTTACAACCAAAAAAGATCAAAATTTACTGTTGACATTTTATCATTTAAAAAAAAATACTAATAGTTTTTATATATAAAACTTTACTTAATACCAATTAAATATCAAAAGTAATACTAAGTAATCTTAAAGATACAAATAATTTGCATAGATTTAAGACCTATATCTTAAGAATTAATGGAATAATTAATAATTATTTTTTAAAGCTTAAATGTTAATTACTCTATCAATTTTGATAATGTTAATCTGAAACTGTTAAATAAATGCACAATAATATTTTCTTTAATTACTTAAATCCTTTTTGGTATTTTATTAATATAAAATAAAGTTTTATATTTGATATTTTTTAATCAAAATTAAGATTTTACTTAGAAATGACTATAAATATTTGCATTAATAAATTTGTTTAAAAATTTTTTTGCAAATTATTATAAAATTTGCTATAAAAAATTTATAAAGTCTATTTAAAATATATTTTTTAAATTTAGAGATATTTATATTATTTGTTATTAACTTCTATAATAATTTTTTAATAATTTATATTATATTAGATCATATTAATTATTGTTTTATATTAAACATTTCTCTAACCACTTATAACTTATTAAATGAGTTATTTTTTTCTACACCACATGACTATAACTTTTTAGTTTTAAATATATTTTTCCCAATGTCTAAAATTTGAGAACTCACAGAATTTGAGTGTGGAGAAATTATTGGTCTTTAGAAAGGAGGTCATAATAAGTGAAATATTGAAATCATTCTCAATTATCTCAAAACTACTATCTATAATATTATATAGGTCTGAAAATTAAACTTCAAGTACTTCCAGGTTGGGTAGATCACTTAAATTAATAGAAAGATATATTAGACACCTTGTTAATGTTATAAATAAAGATCATTAACAATCTTTAAATAAAATAACTAAAAAATTTAATCAAATATCATTAATTTCAACAAGTTCTCTTATTATAAAATGTACTTTTCAAAATGAAGGTTTTTATAGTTAAGTGGATAAATAAAAACCTTTTATATCTGAAGTAAACCATGAAAAAAATTAAAATAATATAATATTAGAAAAAATTGGGACTTAGAATAGAATAAAATAATTTTAAGTGATGAATTTCAATTTTTATTGTTTCAAAATAATGCTCATCACTGGATCTGGTGTTGTCCACATGAAAAACATGATGTAAATTGCTAAATTCCAACAGTAAATTCAGGAAATCAAGATGTAATAATATGTGAATATTTTATACAAAATAAAATTGGACTATTAGTTCAAGTTTCTAACAAAATAACAGTTTCTGTATATATAGAAGTCTTGAAAAATAATTTTTTGCCATTTATTAATGAATTAAACAATAACTTAGAATATGATTTTCAGGATGATAATGTATCTTTTCATTGTGCAAAAATAGTTAAACAATGGATACAAAATAATTTAATAAGAAATATTCCTTGGCCAGCACAGTTTCTAGATCTCAATTCATTTAAGCATCTATGGAATATTTTGGAAAGGAAAGTCTATAAACATAATTCTCATCCAAAAAATTAATAGCTATATTGGAAGAAAAGTGATATAAAATTGAAATCAGAAATTTTAGAAAATTTAGTAGAAAAAATGTCAAGAAGAGTTCAAGCTGTAATAGATAGTTATGATAATCCAACAAAATATTAACACCAAAGGTAAAAATTTATATTTATTGAATAAATTTATATAAATTTCAATTAAATTTATTAAATAAAATTTTTAATTATTAAAAATAATATATTAATAAAAATATTTATAATTATTATTAAGCAAAGTTCTAATTTTTATTAGAAAATATTAAATATAATATTAATAAAGTTGTAGCCTATATTAGCTACAAAATTCATGAAGACAGTTGATATCTGTAATAGATATTCATCAAAATTAAATAACATTACAATAATTAATTCAACTTGATATTTTTGATTAATTCTATTTAAATCAAAATTACTACTCAACTAAGTATTCAATTTTATCAAACAAGATATTATATGATAGCCCTAAATCAGGAAATTATTTTAAAAAAAAAATTTTTTATACATTAAATTATTCATTTTAAATTATGTAATATATTAATAAAAATTTCTAATGATTTTGAAATTAAGCTATTGTTGATCATTTCACTGTTTAATGAAAATTATCAATAGTCATCATATATAAAATTTTTATTTTATACTAATAAAATGTCAAAAAGAGTTTTAAGTAAAATTAAAGAAAATATTATTGTACATCTACTTTAATAGTTTTAGACTAATATTGTCAAAATTGATAGAGTAATTAACATTTAGGCTTTAAAAAATAATAATTAATTATTCTATCAATTCTTAAGATATATGTCTTAAATCATGCAAATTATTTGTATCTTTAAGATTACTTAATATTACTTTCAATATTTAATTAATATTAAGTAAAGTTTATATGTAATAACTATTTGTATTTTTTTAATAATAAAATAATCAACAGTAAATTTTGATCTTTTTTAGTCATGACCAATAATTATCAATTATTGTTTTTATTTTAAGCTACAAGTTCATATAAGATATTTGATATCTCCAATAAATATTGATTAAGATCGACTAATATAGTAATTAAACAATTTAATTTAAAATTTTTTGATTAATTTTATTTAATCAAGATTTCTGAGCAAGCAAATATTCAATTTTAATAAACAAGATATTAAAAGAATAACTCATGATCAGGGAATCAAATAAAAAAATTCATACAATTTAGATATTTATTAGGCTATAATTAACTTTGAAAAATGCTAATAAATTTTTAAAAAAGTTTTTGGTCCAATACTTTTAATAGGGAAGTGTATATTGTTGATAATTGTAGAAAAATTTACATATCAAGCAACTATTAATAAATTGAAGGTAATAAAATATATATTTCATATGATACCTCCTTTATCACTGTATATCTTCACTTCAAATGTAGTACTATTTCTATTATTAATTTTCGTGACTACTCCAAAATCTGCTAATTTAACTATATTTTTATTGGTTAATAATACAGTATATTGCTCCTTTAATATTTCAATGTATAACTCCTTGAACATGAAGATATAATAATCCTTCAACACTTGAATAATATGAACTGCCACTAGATTTTTTGGAAATTTTTAGACTTTTTACAAATATTATGTAATAACAATATCTATAAAATCATTATTAATAATAATAGATTTTTAATAATGGATTCTTGCACCACTAAAATACTCTTTTGTGGTTCCAATCCTACTTTCTACTTTCATAACAAATTCCAAGATTATTTAGTCTTTTAATATTTTCTTTTTCAACTAACTTCAAGTACCACTGAAGTGCTTTCTCTTCATCTTTTGTAATTCCAAATTAATTTAGACTGAATTGTTCCTTACAATCTTTCCTTCAGTTAATTTCAAAACCACAGAAATACTTTTAAAGTTCCAATTCCATGACGATAACAATATATTAGATTGAATTATTTTATATAATTTCCTCCTTCAGCTGGGTTCAAAACCACAAAAATATTTTTTCTCTATCTTTTACAGTTCCAATATCATGTTGATAACAATATTCAATATTATCTTTAGCTAATTTCAAGTAACACTTTTCATCTTTTGTGACTTTAGTTTCAAAATAGTAATAATCTCCAAGATTACTCTGTCCCATATAGTCTCCTCTTTCAGCGGATTTCAAGTACCACTGAAATGTTTCCAATCCATATTGATGACAATATTCAATATTATTCTGTCCTACATGAATTGTATCAATGAAATGCTTTCTCTTCATCTTTTATGGTTCCAATCCCATCACGATAACAATTTCCAACATTCATCTGTCTCATATGGTTTCCTTCTTCTGCTAATTTCAAGAACTATGAAATGCTTTTCTTCATCTTTTGGAGTTTCAATTCCACGGTAATAACATTCTCCAAATTCATATTGTTCATCATTATTTCCCTCTTCATTTAATTTCAAGTATAACTGAAATTTCTCTTTATCTTTTGTTATTCCGATTTTATTGTAACTTTTTCATTGGGTGAAGATTTTTTTGTTCAAAAACTTTAATAAAATTATTGAATTTCAAAGTCCTGTTCTTTTGGATTTGAAATGGAATATAAATTTTAAATGTGATGAAATTATTATATAAAAGATTATAAGGAGGAATTCACTTTATTCGTATTATGATTACATAAGGATAAAAAAATTACGAATAATACTGTTGTTATATGAATGAATTTTAATGTTACGTAGTCATTTATTAGTTTATAAATATTAATTTCTATTTGAATTTCATATTATTTGATTTCTAAAATTGGGGAATGTCTAAAGTGAAGTCAATCACATGACTACCAGAATTAATTAATATTAGAGGACCAGGTTAGGGTTAAGGTTAGGTATTAAGTAGAATTTATATGTAAAATTGTCTCCCCGACATTTTTTATTAATGCACCAAAGTATGTTTAGACATCTGTTTCTTGTATTTTTAGGTTTTTCTTCGTCGTATAAACAAAAATTCCCGATTTTGATTGGCCATAGTCAACGGAAATTCTCGTATTGACTCCGCTTCTTTAGAAGACCAAAATTAGAAATATAATTAATTAAATTAAAAGGTGATCTGCATTCTACATTGTTTATTGATTCATTTTGTACAATATTTTCATTATGTATTTTATTTATTATAGAAAACTAGATAGTAATAATAAATAATTTTATTGAATAAAAAATTGTTACAGATCGTCTATTAAGTCTAAAAGTAGATTGTTTTACATTATATTTTATTTCTTTTACAAAATTGGGTTTCAAAGAAGAAAATATCAATAAATAAACTTTCTTTCTTATAATTTCTTCCTTCATTTTTTTTTGAAATTCTCAATCGTTGATTTTTTTTAAAAAAAAATGATGAATTTTTATAGAATCTCTCTTTATAAACAATTAGTTAAATTTGTATTTTGCATATATCACTTCACATGGTGAACAAAAAAAAATTAATTTTATTAATTATTTACAAAGAAATATAAATAAATTCTATAAAGTTTTTTTACGAAAAAATGGAATGGAATTAAATTAAGGTTACGCAGCAACAATTATTATAGGCGATATCCAAGTTATAACATCGCGGTCATTATTAAAATTACCATAAGTTTTTAAAATTCTAAGTTCAAATCTATAACTTCCATTTGGTACAAAGTCGAAGTTCTCACCTATGAAACCAAACCAATCAAAAATATGTTGTTCGTAACCAACAACACCGTCACCATTTCTTCCTAAAAATGTAGCCTCATAAATAACTGCAACTACTTCACCTTGTAAATTTATTAATGTTACTCGCACTCTTCTTGAACCAAATCCCAATGTATAATATAAAGAAGGTGAATCACTATTATCTTCAAATAAATTGGCAAATGTAAAAACTGCACTTTCATCTTGACTAGTTTGAGGATGATCACCATTAAAAGTTGCTACAAAAGGTTGACCGGGTTTAGGACTTAAAACTGGAATATCACGAATATCGCCTTTTAATCCAAGATAAGGTAAGGTATATAAAAATTTAGTTGTAGTGTCTTCGACTCCTATGTAACCAGAAAATAGTCCTAAATCTTTGTTCTTTAATTGACTGGGAGGGGTTATTTTTATAGTAATTTTTTCTGATTGTCTTGGTCTTAATTTAATTTCTTTCTTGGAAAATTCTACTTTTGAACTAAAAGGATCATATACTAAATTGGCTTGAGAAACTAAAACATTATCGGCAAATCCTCTAACTGATACTGCTGGAATATGTGACATTTTATATGTAACGATCTGTTTTCCAACGTTGGTAATAGTAAAAGATTGAGTATTATTAGCGTGTACGGTATCATTAAGTGCAAATTTTCCAGGTGAAATTAAAGTTGTCGTTTTAATAGCATTTTTTATATTTATTACTCCACCTCCTTGTTTGGCAGTTGAGTAAGGCATATCAAAATCTTCCATTTCAATTGGAGTTGAGGTATATGTGAAAATATCACGAATTTGTTCGGGATTTGTTGATAATGCTGATATTCCTTTATTTTTAAGATCTTGAAGATAAAGTGCAGTTACTCCTGATGCATAAGCAGCTGCCATTGAAGTACCAGATAAAGTTGCATAAGATCCCAAGGAGGTAAGATATGTACTAAAAATACGACCACCAGGAGCCAAAATATCAGGTTTTAAATCCATTTCAAAAGTTGGACCCCAAGAAGAAGTAACGGAAGGTAATCCACGAACTAAATTTTCCACCGCAATTGTATCATTAGGGAAACTTATGGTAATTGATCTACCATTATTATTAGGATCTAAAATCAGACCGACTAAGAATATTCCATCATCTCTTGAAATAAAAGCACTTGGTATATTTGTTCCAGATACATCTAAAGCAAAGGTTTGAGTTGTTTCATTATTATAAAATATTACACCTAATGCACCAGCAGCTTCAGCATTTAAATTTTTTTGGCTAAAAAGACATCCACCTCGTCGAATTAAAACATATGAACCACTAAAATCCCCTTGAAGCGGAGAACAAGCATCATTTTCCGGATTAGGACTATTATTTGAAAGAACTAATCTAAGTGGTGCATTGACAGGTACATCATATCTAAGTGTTATTTGAGTAGTTGTATAAGCAATTTTTCTATCGGGACAACAACTTGTAAGTAAATAGTACGAAAGAAACTTAGTATTTTCAACTGAACCAACAGTTATTACATTGATTGCAGAATCGGGAGATCCCATAGTAAATAATCCTGTAGCACCGTTATTAGGAGCCGCTACAATAATTTTTATACCTTTATTTGCTAACTGTGTACAAGCTATGCTGATAGGAGTTTCGGACCATGAAGCAAAAGGTGTTCCTATAGAAAGATTAATAACATCTACATTATCTTCTTCAGCCAATTCCAAAGCTTTAAGTATTAAATCATCAGTGGTTGCATCATTGCAGGCATTTATTCTGTACATTCCGATTGTTGCTAAATGTGATTAATAAATATGTATAAAAATTGATATCAGATATAGTTGACAGTTAATGACAGAATGATAGAATGACACGAACAATTACCTTTAGGAGCAATCCCAGTAAAATTATAAACATTATCCTCAGCAGCAATAATCCCTGTAATATGAGTACCGTGACCATTACATGTTTCTAATGGATCATTATCAGGTAATGGATCAAAAACGTCGCCTGATCCCACCAGATCAAATCCAAAAGAAATTTTACATCCAGGTCCAAAACAACCACCAAGTGCAGGATGTGTATAGTCAACTCCATTGTCAATAATTGCAATCTTATTAATATTATATAAATTAGTATCGATACAATTTATTTATTAGTAATTAGTACAAATAAAAAGAAATAAGAGATAAAAATAAGAAATATAAAAGAAATAATTACCTTTACACCTTTTCCATTCAACTTATTTATTTTTTGAACATTGGCTACTCCAGTCATATCATCAGCAAAAAGTACTCGAAATTCTGAATGTAATCTCTAAAATATTAATAATAATTATAAAATATATAAAATATAAGTAATTAATGTTAATAAATTAATAAAATAATTATCAAAAATAATCACAAATACATTACATTTTTGTACATTTTCTCTACTCCTGGTAACTTTTGAAATTTCTCAACATCGGTATCGTTTTCGAAAGTTAACGAACAACCGTTAATAATTCCCGTTAAATCTTCTCGAAATTTATATTTAATCGTATTATCATTGCATACTTTTTTTACTCCATCCGCACCATCTTTATGTATGACAATAAAACTATTTTTAAGTTTATTCGAATCTCGAGCGTTTGATACATTTATCAAAAATATTGATAAAAATATCGATAAATAAATAATAATTTTAGTAATATCTTTCAATTTCATTTTTATTGATTTATTTTTTTTAAAAAAAAGAATATCAATTATATATATATATATATATTTATTTATCTAAGAGGAAAATTTTTATTTAGGAGAGAAAGAATCAATGAGAACATTCGACTAATACTAGACGACGATGCCAGATTTTTATTGCTTTTCGAAAATTAAAATTTGAATTCATTGTAATACAATTAATACAATTTAAGGTGGTAACATTTTTTTTTAAACTTTATTATTTATTTATTTATTTTCTTTTCGTACATAAAATAAATCATTAAAAATAATAAACAAAATTGAAAAATTTCATTATTTTACACAAAAAAACGGCGCAAAAAAGAAACACGGGGAAGGGATTGGTTATTCTATTTTAGGGGGGTGTATATAGAAAATAAATATACTACTATTGATCCAAATTTGTTTATCATCAACTTTCTATATTAAGAAAGACATTAAATTACCATTGACTACTGTTGTCATTGTGTTCCTGACAATTGTGTAGTCATCAATCACGGTATCGTTAACCAACAGTAAAGTTTTCATTGTCATTTACACGAAATAAATTAAAAAATGACGATTTTGTCATAGATATTATTCTTGATGATTACTATTTAGTTCGGAAAAATTCACGTAACTTATTAATTTTTCACGTGTTTTGTTTAATGTCACTGAAAAAAAATATTCCTTATATCATTTCCATTACCTTTAATTTTTATTTCATTATTATTATTTTTTTTTATTTTTTTTTTTTTTGCGAATAAATACAGAAATAGATAATTATGAAGATATTTTGATTTTCGCTTACAAAATTTAGCACACTTTGTTCAGTAATTTCTACTCCTTAACACGAACACGCCACGCATAAAGATACATAATTTTGCATAAGGAATGTAGGAAATGTGATATTGAAGGAGAGAGCGTACAATAACAGTAGTAAAAACCATACATAAAATACACAAACATAATAAATAAATATAAAATAAACTCTGCATAAAAGTATTAAGCGAAAGAAACGTTTCAGATAATACGCGTCAAAATGACAGATTAATTCATTCTCTAACATTTTTTTTTTTAATATACATTGTCACAAATCAAAATATCTAATTATAATGAGTAATATTTCAAATTTGGAAAATTAATATGGATTGGAAAAAACAAAGAAAAATGAAATTTATTAAACTCTCTTATGGTAATGGTATTAATGATATCAATGTGGAGTTTAAAAAGTAGATTTTTATTGATTAACAGGTTTTTTTCATTGACAAACAGGTTTCGCATTAATCATTGTATAAATATAGTATAAATATAGTATAAAATTCTAATTCGTTATATAAACAGTAAACCCAGATCAACGAACAATAACCATTTAATTATTTAAAAATAAAGGCTGAAAATTCCTGGTTTGGCCTGTTTAATACTGCATAATAACGTAACCTTTAGTTTTTTTTTTTAATTCATTTTCCGTGATTAACTGCAGTATATAAATAAATATGCGCAAATTCAACTCTAATGAAATATATACATAAAAAGGAAAATATATATCTCAAAAAGGATTGACCGAATGAAAATACCCTGCATATCATATTTTGTATCAAATTGCAACACAATACACGAAAACACAAAATATCACATGTATTTTTATTATAAAAAGAGAATTTAAATAGTTTATAACGACATCTTTGGGATAAATAATGTATATGTAATTATGTAAGTTTAAGTTTCTAAATATAATCTTGGAGAAATATTCATGGACATTAATTCTTGGAACAACATCTTACAAGCGTAAGGTATTTGAACGAGAGAAACCTATTATTAAATTTATTAAATAAAAAAAAATTTTTTTAAATGATAAGTTAATAATAATAAAGTGAAGCTGAAACGAAATGAACTTACCCTTGTGGAATTTTTACAAATTCTACATTCATAAATTCCTTTTGAAATATTTGCCAAAGCCATTAAACCACATAAGTCACATACATGCATATAAAAAGGATCTGAAACATCAAACAATCGTTCCTTCAAAAATAATGCAGTTCCGTGAGAAATCATACAATCTCTTTCCATTTCACCAAAACGTAAACCTCCATCTCGATTACGTCCTTCAACTGGTTGACGAGTCAAAATATTAAGAGGACCTCGAGCACGAGAACTAATTATTTTAATTCAATTGATTATTAATATATTTAAATATCAAAATACAAATAAATAAAATTGTATTTACTGAATTTTATCATGAACCATATGTTTCAACCGTTGATAATAAGTTGGACCAATGAAAACGCGTGCTTCTAATTTTTTTCCAGTGTATCCATTATACATTACTTCATTACCGTAAGGATTATGTCCTAATTCTTTTAATTTTGATGAAATTGAATCTACTGTCACGTCTGTAAAAGGTGTAGAATCGCCTTCGTTTCCTGTAAGAACTACTAACTAATATAAAGAATATAAAGATTATAATTTATTTTATATATATTACCTATTAAACAAAGTAAATAAATACCTTGCCAAGTAAACATTCAATTAAATGACCTACAGTCATACGACTTGGAATAGCATGAGGATTTATTATTATATCAGGAATTATGCCTTCACGAGTAAAAGGCATATCTTCTTGACGATATAAAATACCAATAGTTCCTTTTTGTCCATGTCTACTAGCAAATTTATCTCCCATCTCAGGAATTCGAGTATTTCTAACTCGAACTTTAGCTGATTTTAATGCATCTTGATCTGAAGTAATAACAACGTGATCCACAAATCCCGCTTCAGAACGTCGTAAAGTTGTTGATAAATTTCGATATTTTTGACAAATTCCTCTTTGACCTAACATAGCATCTTCAGGGGTAAGAGTTGTAGTTTTTCCAATTAAAATATCGCCTTCTGTTACAGGCATTCCGGGTGAAACAACTCCATCATCATCAAGTTTCTCAGCACTACCATATCTTAATCCAACTGTATCACTATATGTTGGTTTCATTATTTCATCATAACTTACTACTCCCTTTCTTTTTTCATTTTCTTGATAATTTCTAAAGATAAAACTTCTAAACATTCCTCTATCAACACTATCTTGATTCATAATTATAGAATCTTCTTGATTATAACCTTCATAACAAAGTATAGCAACAATTGCATTATGACCAGCAGGTAATTCCCGAAATTTAAGATATTCCATAACTTTAGTGGTCACTAAAGGTTTTTGAGGATAATATAATATATGAGCAACTACATCCATTCGAGATTGAAAATTAGTTGCATACATTCCCATTGCTTGTTTTCCCATAGCTGCTTGATATGTATTACGTGGGGATTGATTATGATCAGGAAAAGGAATAAGACTTGCTGTAACTCCTAATATCATACTAGGATGAATTTCACAATGTGTCCATCTATTAGTATATGCGGTTGGTTTTTTTGTCCTTTCTATCCAATTGTGAGGACGGGTTGGAGGTTCCATTCCTATAGATTCATAAGCAAATCCTACTCTTGAATCTTTCAAATCTTCCGGTGTCATACAAATCAAAGCAAATTCTTCTTCTTCTGCATCAAGATATTCAATAAATCCATTATATATTAAATTTTCCCAATCAAAAATATTCTTTTTTTTATTATGTGATTTTTTCAATGACCTTTTTATTTTCAATCTCGAATTTCTTACTACGAATAATGGTCTACAAACTCGTCCTGGATCAGAATATATTCTTATTTCTTTAGAACGTATATCATTGACTATACTAATGTCATGATTAAAATCTCCACTTTTTTTCAATTCCTTTAATGTATTATATAAAAGTTCATCATTGTGAGTAATTCCAATCCAACTACCATTCATTAAAACTTTAGTAGCTAAATGTATATCAGGATTTATATTAATTTGTGAATCTAAAAGTCCTGTAGCATGAATATGTTCAATTATTAAATTATTTGATGATCCCACAGAAACATATGCCATTAAAGATAAATTTTTCATAAGTCCACAAGCTTGCCCTTCCGGAGTTTCCGCGGGACAAACATAACCCCAATGAGTATTATGTAGGTAACGAGGTCTGGTGACTTTTCCACCTCGAGAAACTGGTGCATTACATCTTCTTAAATGAGATAAAGTAGATGCATATGTAAATCGATTAAGTACTTGAGCAACACCCGATTTAGATTGCATCGCTCTTTTAGCATCACCCCAATTACCAGTTCCCAATGAATATCTCATTCCATTTGTTATCGTTTGTGATTTAATAATCATTTCAAGATTAATTTCACGTTTTTCTGCTAGCATCTATAAAAAATAAAAATACAATAAAATTATTTAAATTATTTATGCGTGTTAACTTGATAATAAAGGTTAGGTTTATTATATATTACCTTCTTCATTAGAATTGTCATATCTTTAACCATTTTTTTGAAGAGATTATTGAATAAATTTGATAATAAAGCACCAGCAAGATCTAATCTCTTTTTTCCAAAATGATCACGATCATCTAATGGTCTTCTTCCCATAGAACATAATAAAAGTTGACGAATCATATAACCTAAGAAATATGCCTTTTGTTTTTCGAATTCAAAAGTTTCTCCTAAATGAGGAATAAATTCTTTTTCTAAAATTCTCTTGGCCAATCTATTTGAATAATATTTTATTTATTTATTTAAATGTGGATACTTAATCTTCGTAATTTATCTATTAAAAATATATATATATACATATATATATATATCAAAAAAAATTGATTACATACGCGATACGTTTTTCTTGAGGAATTCCTGGCGAAGTAGCTCTTCTACCAATATAATCTAATGCCATCTAATTTTTTTTTTTTTTTAATTATTTAAATTATTTAATAAAAATATTAAATTATAATAATTATAATTATTTTAATTATTTGTGATAATTATAACTCAGATAAATAAGATTTATTTTTTACCCGTTTTGTTTGTATTATAAATCCCTCTCCGAGACATGGTTTTACTACTTCAGTGAATTCGTCATCCGAAAGTGCACCGATAAGTTGTAAAATATCTTGTTCATTTGAAACTCCCAAAGCAACGAATAAAATTTTCACTGGAATATCTTTCTTGAGAAAGGGTATAGTGGCATGAATGTATCGTTCAGAATCATCTAAATCTCCAGATTTTGATAATAATTTAAGAGTAAATGTTCTAACGAATAATCCTTTTTCACCCGAACTTCTAATTTCGGCCAAATAAGCATATGGCGATGGTGGTTGTTTCTTGAAAACAAATATTACATTATTTGCTAGTCTTTCTTGAGCGATTAAAACTTTTTCTGAACCATTTATGATGAAATAACCTCCCTATTAAAAATGGACACATATATATTTGTATACAATTTATTTGTATTTATATATATTTATATTTATATTTATTGTTATATATATTATTTATATTTACCTGATCATAAGTACATTCATTAACTTCGATTAATTGTTCTTCGTTTAAATAATACAACGAACAATATGATGACTTCACCATTACAGGAATCTAAAATAATTTAAGTAAACCAAATTTTAAGTATTTATTTTAATTAAATGTATTAAGTGTATTAAATTGATAATTTAATAATTACTTTTCCAATTAAAATATTTTGCCAAGGAGTAAATTCTTCACGTTCATCACATATCGCATTAAAATTAGGGTTATCTTCACAAGCAATTGCTGTACCAAGTCTTGTTTTAATAAAAAGTGGAGATGCATATCTATATGATAATATGATAATAATCAAAAACAAAATAAAATGAATGTAAAAAATATTTCAAAATTTAAGGAAAAAACAAACGGATTAAAATGAAATTACGTACGTGAGATTTCTTAAACGTGCCTCTTGAGGATATAATCTTATTACAGATCCATCTGATTCTGTAATAGTTGGTCTGCTGAAAAGTAAACCATCGAATTCTACTCTCAAGCGCTTCTAGAATGAAATATAAAAATACATATCAATATATTGCCTTTTACAAAAAAAAAAAAAAAAAAAAAGGAAAAGATAAATGTATACGTGTACTAACGCAAATTCTTCTCCCTTTATTATCAATACCTTCCGCATGTATTAAAACCACTTCTCTATTTTGTTCAATTATATCTTGCAAACCATTTTGTATAAATTCATCATATGAATCAAGTTGTTGACGAACGATACCACGTTTTTTAAAAAATGATGAAATAACTTTCCAACATTCATCTTGTGAAATATCTACTTTATCTTCGTCGCCGTTTTCATAATATTGATCTGTATTTTCATCTAAATAAAATAAATTTTAACATATGTAAGTGTGTGAGAAGTGTACGTAAATGAATAAAATAAAAGTGTTATTTTAATTTAACCATCATCAGTCAGAATTTCACTTTCAAAACTTGAAGCTTCGTATTCATTTCCATAAAAATCATTTTCAGGTGATAACATAAAACTATCTGAATCAAAACTTGCAAAATTCATTTTTTTTTTTTATTTATAAACAAATCTTTTAAAAAAAATAAGTAAACAATTGCGGTACAGTATTAATATATTTTTTAAATAATTTATATAATTTATTTTAATATTTGTAATCAATTTTAAATTACGCTATCTTCGATGACTAAAAAATACATAATATCACATCACATTCAATCTATATAACGATATTTTAACTTTTTTATGTAGAAATAAAATATGATGTGTCTACGATAGTGTTATTCTAAAATAATATATAATGGTCTTCACATGAATCTTCTCACTAGAAAGAAATTTAATTTTTATAGATAAGTTAAAAGTATAATTTGAATAATTGATGATAATCTAAATCCTTCTATACCAGCAAATCTATATTTCGAAATATGTAATATATAATTATATTATTTCATCACGAAGCAATAGTTGTTAAAAGTAAATATTGAAAATTCAATCAATAAAATTTTGTTTTTAGATTTTTTTTAAATTGCACACTTTATCTACAAATGGCATCTATAAATAAATAAAGAAATATAAATATTCCGTAATTACTAAAAACGGAGATCCCAAGAACTTTATAATATATATCTTAAGCTCCTGTTATTATTTGGTCCAGTTACATGTCTATATTTTCATTGTTTTCTGGGGAAGGACCTTATTAAAAACTTTTAATGTCACTACTGAAAAATTGATAAATAGTAGCATGGCTTTAGAGTACTTCCGTATACCAAGTAAATTAAATTTGCAAATTTTTTTGTCATAAAAATGGGAATTATTGTCATGTGTTCTTTAACTACAACAATCGTTATCTAAAAATCGGGACGAATACCCATCCTAAGTTACGTTTTTGATATTTTTCTTATGTTATCACTTTAACACGTCCTTTAAGTGTCCTCCTCCAGAAACTATGAATTCGGATTATCGGATCAGACACAATTTACTTTTAGACTTAATACAAAAAATCGTCATTTATTGACACAATATACGATATTATTCAAGTCATTATAATAAATTAAAAGAACAATCTATGATCAATTTTATTTGATTTATTATCAAAATAAGCAAATAAAATAGTTTATTATTACTATCTAGTTGCAGGAAACAAATTAATAAAATTTAATTAACAATAACAAAGAAATTTTCACAAACGAAATTTTTATTAAATGTAAAATGCACGCAGATCTTCATTTTAATTAATTTAATTTCTAATTTTGAAAAATGTGCCAATTTTAAAAATCAAAGAATTATTCATACAAATCAAATTGTTGGATCGTATAATGGAAAGAAATTAAATATTTATAAACTAATAAATGACTTTCCCTTAAAATTCAACTCATTTAACAATAGTATTATTCATAATTCTTTATTCTTATATGCAATATATATATATATATATAAAGTGAATTCCTTCTTATAATCTTTTATATGATTATTTTATAACATTTTAAATTTATATTCCGTTTCACATTTTTAATAAAAAGAATAGAACTTTTGAAATTCGATAACTTACAGTATATTAAAGTTTTGAACAGAAAAATCTTCGCTCAATGGAAAAAATATATTACAATGAAATCGGAATGACAAAAGATAAAGAGAAATTTCAGTTAAACTTGAAATTAGCTGAAGAGGGAAATAATGTTGGACAATTTGAACTTGGAGAATGTCATTACCGTGGAATTGGAACTCCAAAAAATGAAAAGAAAGCATTCCAGTGGTACCTGAAATCGGCGGAAGGAAAAAATATTAAGAGACAAGTTTGTATTGGATATTGTTATACTGTGGAATTGGAACTCCAAAAGATGAAGAGAAAGCATTTCAGTGGTTCTTGAAATCAGCTAAAGGAGGAAACCATCTGGAACAGGTGAAGGTTGGAAATTGTTATCGTGATGGGGTTGGAACCATAAAGGATGAAAAAAAAGCATTTCAATGGTACTTGAAATCAGCTGAAGGAAGAAACCATGTAGGACAGAATAATCTTGGATATTGTTATCGTTATGGAATTGGAACTCCAAAAGATGAAGAGGAAGCATTTCATTTGGTACATGAAATCAGCTGAAGGGGGAAGCCATAAGCCATAAGGGACAATGTAATCTTGGATATTGTTATGATAATGGAATTGGAACCCCAAAAGATGATGAAAAAGCATTTCAGTGGTACTTGGAATCTGCTGAAGGAGGAAACCATGTAGGGCAGAATAATCTTGGATATTGTTATCAATATGGGATTGGAACCACAAAAAAATGATTAAAAAGCATTTCAATGGTACTTGAAATCTGCTGAAGATAATCTTGAATATTATTATCAACATGATATTGGAACTGCAAAAGATAGAGAGAAAATATTTTTATGGTTTTTGAAATCAGCTGAAGGGGAAATCATATGAAAAAATTTAATGTGAGATATTGTTATCATTACAAAATTGGAATTTCAAAAGATAATGAGAAAGCATTCCTGTGGTTTCTGAAATCAGCTGAAGGGGAGACCATAGGAAACAATTCAGTATTGGTCATTTTTATCTAAATGGATTTGGAACCACAAAAGATGAAGAGAAAGCACTTCAGTGATACTTGAAGTCAGCTGAAGGAGGTAATATTAAAGGGCTGAATAATCTTGGATATTTTTATTTGGAATTGGAATATACCTGCCACCCAAATTCAAAATCCAAATGCCGAAATCCCAAATGCCGAAATCCCAAATCCCAAATCCCAAATTATGATTAGTATTTTTTGTCGAAATCCCAAATCCCAAATCCCAAATACTAGTAATTTGGGATTTGGGCAACACGTATAAATTGGAACCACAAAAGATGAAAAGAAAGCATTTCAATGGTATTTGAAATCAACTGAAGCAGGAAATCACCTGGAACAGATGAATGTTGGAAATTGCTATAGTGATAGAATTGAAACCATAAAAGATGAAGAGAAGTCAGCTGAAGGTGGAGATCATAGAGGACAGAATAGTCTTGGAATTTGTTATCAACGTGATATTGGAACTCCAAAAGATTATAAGAAAGCATTCCATGGATACATGAAATCAGCTGAAGGAGGAAGTTATGAAGGACAGAACAGTCTTGAAAATTGTTATAATGATGGGATTGGAACCATAAAAGATGAAGAGAAAGCATTTCAATGGTACTAAAAATTAGCTGAAAGGGGAAATATTTATGGACAAATTAATCTTGATTATTGTTATCAAAATGAAATTGGAATTTTAAAGATTAAAAAATAACAAAATGAATTAAAGCATAGATGTCATAATTGTGAGAAATTAAATTTACAAAATAATACATGTTCAAATTGTAACCTTATAGAAATGAAAAAATGGACCAGTGGTAATAATGAAATTGATAAGATTTTCAAATGACTCAATCAGATAATAATACAAAAGAATGGGAAATTTGGAGATGGATAAATTATAATAAATTCAAGAATATAGAATATTTAGCTGAAGGGGAATTTGGCAGTATTTGGAAAGCAGAATGGATAGATATGCCTGAAGAGTTATTTGAATTTTATAAATCAAACCAATTTGTTTTGAAGAAACTTAATAATTCACAAGAAATTAGTTCAGAATTTTTAAAAGAGGTAAATATTAAATATATCAATATAATAATATTTTTTTATTCAATATATAATATTTTATTTTTATTTATATTTCTTGAATCTAGTTAATTGCAAATTTCCAATGTCAAAATAAATATATTTTATCAATTTTTGATATAACTCAAGATCCAATGACAAAAAATATGCAATAATTTTATGATATATGAAAAATAAAAATTTAATAGATTGTCTTAAACAAAATAAATCATTACCTTGAATTGAATAATTATGGTTATTGAATTCTTTTATCAGAGGATTAAAAGTTATTCACAGTAAAGGATTTGTCCATCATGATCTTCATCCTAGTAACCTTATGATAACTGAAGTAAATACTAATTCAAATAATTCAAAATATAATTTCATAAGATTAGAAGATTTGGAATTATATAGAACAAATGAAATCTTATCATCTGAAGGATATGGTGTATTGCCATATATTGCACCTGAAGCATTGAATAAAAAACTATACACACAGGCTTCTGATATTTATAGTGTTGAAATATTATGTAGGTAATTTCAACAGGAAAAATAATATTTTCTAACAGAAAATATGATATAGAATTAACTTTAGAAGTTCTAGAAAGACTTTGACCAGAAATTAAAAAAGGCACATCTTGATGTTATGTAGAATTAATGAAAAAATGTTGGCACAAAGATCCATCCAAATGTCCAAGTGCTCAAATAATTTATTATATATTAGAAAAATGGATTGATGTATTATTGCAGTTTTCAAATTAGTGTGATAATGTAAAATCAGATTTTATATAATTGAAAGGTATTTGAATACCTTATTCACAAGAACACATGACTAATCCTCAAATTTCAGCTAATAAAAATTGATACTCTCAATTTAGAGTATACAGATAAACTGTATTGTACAAAACACTATTTGTACTGTACGAATAATGACTTGTATAATTTATTTGTGGCTTGTACGGTTGATTAACTAATATCACATAATATTTTTTATAAAATTTTAATTGTGAAGAATTTTATCTGGGTGATATATAAACATGATGAATAATATTTTAGATCCAAAAAAATTTTAAGTCCCTAAAAAAATATAATAAAAATTAAATGTTGAGATATGTTGAGGTGGTAATAATAAAATATAACATCAGGAAATTTTTCGGGCGTAAATTTCCGTAACACAAACGGGACCCACGGAAATTTACGCCCAAAAATTTAATTTTTTTGACTTTGGCAATTTACGAGACAGGAAGCGATTTTCTACTAAGGTATTTCTATGACAGATCGAAAGCCCTGGTTCTTGGCTACAA